GTACAAGAGATATGAGTAACTAATATAGAAGAAAAAACAGGAAGTTGTCGTCTGTTGTAAAATAAATAAAATATCTAGAATATAAATTAGAATATAAAATAACATTCAGTCAATGTGTCGTCAATAAACTGTACAATTATCAAATGTTAAAACTGGGTGATACAGTCACCAAAAAAAAATACTAAGTATGATAAGTTAATAAATTAAATGTGGTCTATAAAACTACCACTAAGTATAATAGGTCAATAAATTAAAAGTGGTTTATAAAACTACCACTGTGGGAACCCCTTCTCCAGTTAAAACATATGATTTTGGACTTGGCTCTTGGCTTCTTTTTTGTGGTCAGCTATCATCTCAGAGACACGATCTACAAACACTGTGCAGAGTGATCCCATACCTCCGGAGGTTTTGAAGACTAGAGGGATAAAGGATCCCTTCTCCGACTGAAGTACTCTCTCTTCATACAAATCTTTCTTTTCTTTCTCATGATCTCTATAGATCTTATCTAGTGGCTTAAATGTATTTGTGTCACAGTTAGGATGTGTGACCCTGATGTCATAGAATGTTCTTTCAAAAGGTGCATACAATCCGACAGCTGCTACATCAAGACGGGCTTCATCCTGGGTGTTGGTCTTCCTTGAGAATGAGCTTGGTTGGACTGGTATGAGTGCTGGTTCTATCCTTACGTCTTTACACTTTGCTTCTCGGAGGAAGAAAGCAGCAGTGTCTCTTATGGCATTGTGGCACATAGAAACGTATCCACCTAGTTTACAGTCAAGGGCGTTATAGATACTGTTTACATTTCCGCATGCATATTTAAGGAATACAAACTCCTGCCTGTTCAGAACATAGTTGAGGTCCTTCAGTGGTAGTGTTGAGAGCCATGTTGAGGCTCCCTTCTCTCTTGCTTGGTCTAGGTGGTTCTTAAGAGGATGATCTGACTCATTATAGAGCACCTTGAACCTTTGGGAGAGAACCTCCTCTTTCTGTTTCCTCAGTTCTTTTTTCTTTTCTTTTATCTTGCCCAGGTCCAGCTTGGTAATATCCTGGTCTTGTTGGTTTTCATTCATCCTCTACGATATAATAACACTGTTAGATATTTAAATCTTAAGCGGAAGATAAATCTTTCGAAAAGATAAGGCTTTATTATAGCATTTAATTTTGCTAATTTTGCTACTATTATGATAAAGGATTAAATACCAAGCATATTGAAGTGTAGTATAGTGTTATTGGACTATGTTTATTTGAAAACAATCACCTTTAAACTAAATATTGTTGTAATAACAAGGGAATGAGTTTTTCTATTTGAGCTGTTCAGTTCACAGGAAAGCAGATATGGACTGGTTTAAAACTTTTATTTTGGATAACGTTTGTTTCAGTAACCATTAAGAACCAGTGGCCTTTTGTAACTGCATCTTCAACCTCAGTTTCATTTTGAAACGTCAAGAGACTGGTAAAGTCAAATATTTTGTTACATAAACATTTTTATCAATTTTTGAAGGGTAGTAATTGTTTAGATCATAATTTTTATACGAAACTATCAATGTTTTTTTAATAGCTATTAGCAGGGTAAAATTTGTTAGGTGTGTTTCTATAAATTTCTCTATTGGAAATTAAAGTTTTTGATCTCTACTATTTATTGTTATTAAAATGCTCATTGTAGCCAGTTATTTTTAAAAGATTTTCATCATCAACAGATATTTAAAATTTGACGGAATTAGGGGAACAAAACTATTGAAAGGGCCAGGGGATATAGTTATTTCGAAACATACAATCATGCTAGTTAATTCTTTAAATTTTTCGAATTATATGCTCATTGCTGAATGTGCCGCCATTTTGATGTATATAATCGGCTTTTCTTTAAATCCTGAAAGTTGATCAGTAACCCCAATATAACTCGTGGAGGCGCAGCCTTTTTTCTTACAAAAGCAGTCCAGGACAACAGTCACCTTCAACTGAAACAAGAACTGAATGGAGCTGACTCGTATTCTAATCGTATTCTAATCGTAATCATACAAGAAGTTAACTAAGGTCCTCCTAGTCCTAAGCATTATCTTGTTTCAGAGGGAATGAGTGATTTAAAAAGATGAGGCCAAAGAGTTAGCTGTAAAGAAGGCATTTGTACTCTGTAATTTCTAAGCTAATTTTTTTCGATATTTATAGCTATTTACTGATCTTGTCTTGACGTATCAGCAAAAGATCACTGGACCTCGTTAGTTGTTAGTCATGTTATGCTGATCCAGTTAGTGACGAGCTATGAAGTAATCATTCGACCTCATTTAATACTGATCCTATCAATGAAGTAATCAGTGGATCTCGTCAATGCTCATCCTGTCCAGACTGTCAGTGACGAGTTATGAAGAAATAAATGGCAAGTTGGTCGTTTAGCTCCGGACAGTCTATGCAGGGACTGACCGTGCAGGGACTGTGCATGGAGTGTTCTCTTGTTGTTGTATGGACCGTGCAGGGACCGTGCATAGACTGTCCGGAGCTAAACGACCAACTTCCCAAATAAATGAAGACCTCATTAATTCCCTTGTTCCAAGAAGATATTCCTCTGGTAACAACCCCTTCTGGCCTGCTTCTGAACATAATATGAAGATGCGAAAACCTAGTCTACCTAAATTGGAACTTGCTGACTGTATTGGAAAATGGATAACAATCGAGAAATGATAATCAGTGCCAGGATATAATCAAAGTTGAATTTGGAATCCAAGGAAAACCTTCCTTTTTTATATTACCATATTGTGCGTTAGTTTGGTGTGAAGTATTATGTACTTTTTAAAAACTAACAGTGTTTTAACACTGTTAAAATATATCATCTTTAACTGATATCAATTTAGTTTAATATGGGAGTGTGTTCAGGACTCTGAAAGTGGCATACTCTGATAGCAATGGTATGAAATGGTTAACTTTAGTCAAGGTCTCATGTCTCTACGACCTTCGCTTTTGGCGCAGTGAATCTTGCGCTTCAGCGCAATGCGAAAATTCCTGCAGGAACTTCCCGACATTGTAGAGACCTGAAACCTCGACTAAAGTTAATCATTTTCTACTGTTTATATTAGAGGAGCACACATTTAGAACTCCTCCCATACTCCTTCGTGACTAAATTGACGATTTAGAGAATTTTACCTGTTAAAAATTGGTGAAAAATATGGGCGTGGCCCAAGTCAGTAAAAAAGACACAAACAATTTTTTGGTTGTTCCTGACCCTATTATAGAGCAACTAATTAGAGGTGATATCTAATTATTTGAACGAAATGTGGTTTTGTGAACCGCCCTATATTCTACAGCGAATCATGAACATTGAACATGTACATGATAAGAACTTAGAATTGTATGAAGTATGAGTTTATATGAGAAATTTATTATGAAATGACCTTTCACTATGCAATTTCGACTAAATTCATGTAGATATCCAATCCAGTTCCATGCACAACTGTTGTTTACATTTGGTCTAGTTAGACACAATTTGTTTCAGAGTGACTCGATAATCGCAATATCAAATTAAGATATTATTTAAATGGTCCATGTCATGCAATGCGGAAATATCCCCATAAATTGGCAACTGCCAAAGTGACACTAAAGTTATTGCTAATTCCTTTACAAAACTTAGCAAGTGCTATTAACAATATCCTAATGGATCATGGAAATTGAAATGTTCAATTTTCTTTTCATAAATAATAATTATAATGCGAAATTTTATTTACCCCAAGTTTGGAGAGTAAGTAGGTTAAACTGGGAATGCCCCTTCCCAGGGACCACATTACCCCTGGCCTAATAAACCATTCAGTATCATGGGAGACCATGCACAGCCTCGAATTATAGTATAATGAATTCGAATAAACCTTTTTTGTCTCTAAAAAAAGGCTTAGAAAACTAGATTTATTTACCTCATTTTACCTCATTTTACCTCATCCCAATTTTGCCTTTTTTGGCTGGCCTCATGAGGTAAAATGAGGTTGACCCCCCCCAATTATGTCTTCAATTATCATTCGTGATTATGGGTCCTGATGAATAATGTTGAAATATTTTCATTTTCCATACTATTTTAAAGTACCATTTTTCGCCGTCTTAGGGGGGCGCCAAATCGTCGTTTGAATGTGGGACATTTCGAAAACTTAACTAAAGTACTAGCAAAACTGCGTGTTTTGCTCTAGATACACACTTTTTTAGAGATTTTACTGGCGTATCCTCTAAAATCGCCTAATTTTGTTAAATTTAAGGGAGGGGCACCAAAACGGGAGGGGCGCCAACAGGGGGGGGGGGGGCGCCTTTTCGGCGGGGGGGGGGGGGGGGGGGGGCGCCAACGCCCAACAGGCAACGTTACGCCACTGTGGGTCACAATTAATGTGTGTGACCCTGATGTCAAAGAATGTTCTGTCAAAGGGCACACACAGTTTAACTGTTGCAAGGTCAAGACGGGCTTCATTCTTAGGGAAACAAGAACTTAAGAGGACCTTACAAAGTTTTCTGTTCCAAGACCATTCCATTTCTCTTGACATCCATATTTTTTCTCCTGCTAGGAGTAGCACTTGTTACAGTTGGACTACTTATTGAAGACTGGTAATTGTGGCTCGGATATTTGTCTCTATGTTTTGCTTTCTGTGATTTTAACCCTATTATTCCAGACAAATTGACTAGGACTCCTGCAAAAGATTTTGCCATTCCCTGATCCTACATCACGCACTTGTTGTCGTTCAATCTATCAACAGAGTAACAGACTGAATTTGCTGCACTATTTATATTACCACGCAATCCGTAATTTTAGACGAGTGCTGGACTGCACTATTTCACAGCTTGTAGAATCATCTTAAAATAAAGCGTATGTTATTGCCCACATTAAGGGGCCTCTTAATAATTAATTAAATTATTAGCTATCTAAGATTTAATAATAATAACATCTTAAAATGATAATTTAAAATACTTTTTGTGGCCGAAAAACCTGCTATATCAACCTTATTTCTTCAAAAAGTTTAACAATTGTCTTCACCAAAAGTATGGACAGTAATGTACACACAGGCGGTGCGAAGCACTTCCCAAATAAAGACGGACAAAATCAGCCTGATGTTTCCAAGGTTAGGTTCACATCCATGATTTTGTGTTAAATACCTTACTCGGGAATATTATAGCGGGTTAATTTATGACTGGGAAAATAAATGACCGGGAAAAATATGGCGGAATGTTCCAAAACCCACCACTTTATCCCAGTCATAATATTCCCGAGTAAGGTATTATTAATTCATTCATTTTGAAATAAGTTGATAATATCAGAAATTACTGATCTAACAGCTACAGATAGTAATTATTCAAATTACGATATATTGATAAAAATTATTTCCAGGGGAAGCGAAGAGTTGGAGTTATTCCCACTATTCAAGAAATCCATGGAGATGTTCTAACAACCCTTGCTAATCAATACTGGGCACCACATTCAAAACTTCCTAAAAATAAATTTTCAGAAAAAATTATCGAAAGGATCTATTACAAAGAAATTGGACACAGGTTTGTGCCAAAACTAGTAATCAGACTTGACTTTTGAATCCTTATTCTTCAAGATGAGCACACATCTGGGGAATTTATCAGGATAAGAAAAATCACAAATAAGTTATCAATTGAAAATTCCCAATATAATTATTGTACAAGCATTGTTTTGTTATTTTACAAACATTTATTTTTTTTACCTCAGGTTTCCCATCCGACGAATCATGTTGTTAGAGTTCAGTCAGTACCTAGAACTGTACCTGTGGCCTAACTTTAACCCTGGCCGTCTGTCACCCGCTTACATCATGAGTATAGTGATGATAATCAACGAGAAGTTCAGGCAGAAGGTCCCTGTGTGGAAAGTATTTCGTGATCACCCAGTCCAGGTACAATCTTTACCATATTATATTTACCAAATAATTTAACTTTATTTATTTACATCCAACTGTTGTTGAATGTTGCTGTTAATCAGAATAGGTTGTATAAAATTAACTAGGTTTTAACAGAAATATTTATGTTATAAATCATATTGTTTATATTTGTCAATTGACCGTTACAACAACCTTGAATTAATCTTCAATATCCAATTAGGTACCGCTGTTTTTCCATGCTGTGAAAGAGGCGATAAAGGAATTTAACGATCAGTTCAGTCTCAAGGAGCAGACTGTACTGCTGATATTCCTGATCCACTGTTACAACAGCTTGGTGAGTGTAATTTGAGATTACAGTAGCTTAAATAAATCATGTTGTTAAATGCAAATGATAGATACCATGTCAACCACGTGTTGATGGATGCCATTTCAACGACGTTTGTATAGAATGTGCATATTTTGATAATCATCATAAAATGCATGCTAGTTGCAATCAATTTGACATGTTTTATTACCAGGAAGAAGACATTGTACGCACACATATTCAGCATACAGTTAGTCTTGGTATTTGGAGATGCATTCTCCCCTCCAAGCTTCAAAGTTTACTCGGTAAGCTGGCTTCAGTTATAGCAATTTAGTAGTCTCGGATAAGACATTTTTCTATATTGACAGAATTTGAGCATCCTTTAGCGACAAAACTGAAGCGAGTCAGCTCACTACAAAACATTCCTTTGTTCAGAAAAGAATCCGCGTCTAAACAAACGGTGGAATAACCTCCAAAAGAGGGAACAGAAGCTGGGTGCGCGCGAGCGGGGACTACGCGAAAATGATTACAATTTCCTTCAAAAACTCATACACAAGTACTTTGCTGTTCTCGAGGAGATCCCCGCTGAAGGCTTCATCACGATGGAAGAGGTTTGTGAGATCAAGTGATAAAATTCAAGTGCGATTTCAGTCATTCCTATCATGGTTATATAATATATATTAATGCCTAATCGAAACCAGTGTAGTTTTGATAATATCAAATTATCTCCAAACTCATATTATCTAAAAAAATGTCACCCTCATCATTATGTCAGGTAAATTTCGCGGAGAGATTTCTGGAGCTGTGTATAGACCTCCAAGCGCAACTGCCTACACGGCGCTTCTTCAACACTCTCCTCCTTGACACGCACATTATAGTGCGCTCTGCACAAAGCACTCTGGCGCACCGAGAACAGGAAGGGCACTTGTTCTGCGAGCTTCTCAAGATGGTCAAATTTTACTCCAAGTACGTTTGTTAAAACGGTATTTAATCTTTATAATGCAAATGTGATAGCAGATCCATGTTTGGTAATGTAAATATTTGTCTTCATTGATAGAATTGATTACTGTGCGATGTTCAACTAATTTTTGTAATCCCCACTTGGGGGTTAGGAAATCGCTAAATCAGGGTTCATTAAAGTAATCTATCAAAACTCAAGGTTCGAAATAGACGATCTAGAAGGGAATCCGCTTACAGAGACTCAGATGTTAAGCCAGCATTACGATCAAGTTCTCTCTTTGCAGAAACAGTGCTTCGCTCACTTTAAGGTAGGGTCTTGTCACTGTGTAAAAACTAGCCACATGACTGTTGTTCCATTTGTTCTTTAGTGGAGATTCTGGGTTAATTTTGGAAATCAATAAAGAAATTATATTGCGAACACTGAAAAGATTTTGGATGTGGTATATCGTGACACTTTTCTGCAGTGATTTTCTGTGGTCTAAACAAATCTTCATATTTCAAAAACAAACAGCACTTTAAAACAAAACAAAAACATCTCGTACCAACCATTCCTACTTTACTCATATTCCAACCACAAAAATGCTGCTGTTTCTCGTAACTTGTTTGCTGTTCGTTCAAACAGTACTTAGTGCATATTGTATTGATCAAACGAGGTTCAAAATTGGTAATAAACCATGTGATGAGCTGTTAGAGTCGCTTGGAGATGATATAGAGGATCTGAATACAATGTGTGCTGAAAAGGGTATCAGCAAGACATGTCGATGGTCCTGTCATTCTTGCAGAATAAACCCCTCAGCCACAAAACGCACGTCATTGAATTTTCATAACCATCTTCGCAAAAATCACCGGGCAAGAAAACTGAACTGGGACATAGATCTCGAAAACTCAGCTACACAACAATGCAGAAAACTGGCCGGATTGGGGTGGATAGAGAACCAGATCTTGCCTAATGCGGGTAAAAATACCTTCCACGGTGCCAACATTCGACAATATTCGCGCATCGCACTGTACGCGGCACGACAATGGTACAAGGAGGAGAAGTTGTACAACTACAAGGAGCACGTGTACCAGACGGAAACGGCCAAGTTTACCCGCATGGTGTGGAAAGGAGTGACCCATGTTGGGTGCGGATATGCAAGGTCTCAGGAGTACAGCAAGGCTAAAGGTGTGACCAACCATGTGTACTATTGTTGTCATTACCTTCCTGCTGGTAATTTCTTGAATATGTTCGAGTATAACGTGGGGAAGCAAAGGAAGGGGATGTGATCGTGAAAAGCAGAAGATAGACGAAAGAAATTTTAATTTTGTAGAAACTTCATTGAAATTGTTGTTTTATTTGGTGTTTAATGAATGTTCCCTGCAGAAGTGAAATAATCCGAATCAAAACATTTCAGCTAAAAGAATCTACAAAATAAACAACTATTTCACGCTGTTACCGTGGCCGTAACCATTAGTTAAATCCATATTGCCACAAATTGCCACAAATGCCAGTTTTAAACGTATATTGATTTTAAATACGTTAACAAATAAAAACTTTGGCAATCATCCAAATAACTAACTTGCAGGAGCTGGAGGAGTTAGCGTTAGCAAACATCAGTCAGGTAGATTCTAGAGACAGTCTCACTGGGTACCTCAGGTCACTGAACAACAGAAGACTTCACGAGCTAGCTCACCATCTCAACCTCTTAGAACCTGTGAGTAGTTAGGACATTTTATTGGTCACTACGCTTTGGACTGCGTTTCATGATTAAATCTGAGCACGTGACTATTTCATTGCCCCACGGTTTCAAGTACAGTTGAGATCAACATAATGCTCAAAATTATGCATATCATATATTGTTGATAAAGTTAACAAATATAATAATAATGAATTTTCTTTTAACCGCAGTATGGGGAAGCAAAACACAAAAGTAGTTTTATCCTGGAGGTGATTGTTTCCTATCATGAGACTAGGATGAGCCAGATGGATGAGATTAACGCTATGCCCCTCTATCCTACTGAAGAGGTTAGCGCACTGTTTTTAATTAGTTAATTAAAGCGCACTGTTTTTAATTAGTTAATTAATTAATTAGTTAATTAGGATGAGCCAGATGGATGAGATTAATGCTATGCCCCTCTATCCTACTGAGGAGGTTAGCGCACTGTTTTTAATTAGTCCACCACTTGGTTTTAGTGTAGTGATTAAATTCTAATTATACTGGCTTTAATGGACATTGTAATTCTCATAGTAAATAATCCCCAAGAAAAGTCTACTTTTATTTATTTACAATGCATACTACAGTATACATTGTAAATAAATATAATATTCACGTACTTTAGTTCGACATGTACTCTAGTTCGACAGCTAAAGTTCGCAAGAAATCGCTCCTTCTGAATTTGTTAAGGTTTAACAAGTTCAGTATTTTCTAAAGAATGCAACAGCTGTAAAGTGTAAAATAGTTTTAACATTTTATAATTTTAACAAACCAACATTTGCAGATTCTATGGGACGAGAATGTTGTCCCAAACGAGTTTTTCTCCGGTGAGGGCTGCTTGGCTCTACCTAAACTGAACCTTCAGTTTTTAACGCTCCACGATTATTTGCTGAGAAACTTCAACTTGTTCAGATTGGAAACTATGTATGAAATCAGACAGGTAAAATAGGAATAAAATGTAATCAATTTTTATAATCACTTCCAACAAATTACAGAAGTTGAGACTGCTCGAAGTTTAACTGCTCGAATTCTGCTTTGCAAGAATTAAATAAAAGTTAACAGGAGCGGATTTGTTAAATTCGTCTCTATTCAGGACGTAGAAGATGCAGTTTTGAGATTGTGCCCGTTTCTAACATCCGACCAGTCGACCCAATTCTCTGGGTGGGCCCGAATGGCGCTGCCTGTCGCAAAGTTTACTGTCGTAGAGGTATGATAATCAAACCAATCTCATTGTCCTAATATTGGAAGGATCGCAGCATTTTCTTAAGTTGAATGTGATTATTTTAAATAAAGTCAGTGTTATTATTTATTAATTTAAGAACTCTGTTGAACACATTGAAACGCACCCCCTTCGCGGGGGGTTGCAGACTCACAGAATACTGTGCTAGGTCGCCAAACCACACGTGGGAAAGAACCATCCTTCACGAGTCAGAGCTGATGCCACAATCAACCTTGATATCAGGTATATTATCTAGGGTTTTTTAGTGTTTCTTATTTTATTGCCAAGATTAGAGATTCTCTTTATCTCTGAGCCGAATGATATACAGCAACGACATCACGTAGTATTGAGTGGGACAAATGTGGCAATTTCGGCGTCTGTTTTGAACGGCGAGAGCACGTTTCCTTGATTTTTGTAGTGGATTTGTAGTGCTTTTCACCCCTGTAGTGCTTTTATGTTCCGGGGTAGGTGGAACATGTTTTAGTTTAAAAATGGGTTCTGCCTGTCCCAAACCATCATAAAAATCAAGTTTCGACCTCTCAACCCACTCGGGCCACTCCCAGGGGCCACGCCCATCCCAAAATGACCGAAATCCAGCTAAATCCAGACTTTAAAATCTTTACCCCTGTAGTGCTTTTATGTTCCGGGGTAGGTGGGACATCTTTTAGTTTAAAAATGGGTTCTGCCTGTCCCAAACCATCATAAAAATCAAGTTTCGACCTCTCAACCCACTCGGGCCACTCCCAGGGGCCACGCCCATCCCAAAATGACCGAAAACCCAAAAGTGGTGGTGAAACTTAGCCACTATGCCTGTCACATACTAAGGTAGAAGGAGTCAAAGTATCCTCCTAGTTGACCATTTCGGCGGGCACTGGCCAATAAAAGTGGTTCATTGCTCCTCATCCTCATGTCTCATAGTCCGTACTAGATAGAAATGAGTGTTGGCAACGTCTCCATCTTCCTCTTGTCAGAAGCCTTTTTTTCGGTAAGAGAGTCCTGCATTTTTCGTTACGTGGTTTTTTCAGTTACTTGGCTCAGATCTTGTGTCCATCTGTATGCATTGGGAGGCCTGTCAGGTTGGATCTCGATGCTTGAGGAAGCAGTGAATCGTATCCCCTTTTTGGCACGCTTTCCGTGAACAGCCGAACAGGTAAGCTTGTTAGAATCAGATATCGCGATCGAAAGGTAACCCTTGAGACTTGTCATCCTATTAAGTAACGCTTTATTAACCAATCGAATCAATACATAAGGAAGAGAATGTGGTACAGTATCGAATCATGGTGTTCACAGTACGATTATCATGGGTTGTCCTTAGCAAGTACATCCAACGGACAAAGGGAGCTCAATTTACTTCTGGACACAGACGGATTCCTCTATGCACCCGAGAAAAATGTTCGGGATACCCTACTACCTCATCGAGATGCCAGAAGTACAGAATCAAGAAATGTCCCTGCTTCAAGTGAAATCTTGACCAAGGAATCAGTCCTTGGCCAGCGGAGCCAAACCTCAATTCCCAAGACCCTGCAACATAGTAGCTGCGAAAGCGGAAAGCTGCCGACCAACACCTCTCACAACGACATAAAACCTCCTCACCGAAATGCCCACCCGACATCAACGTGGAACAACCAAACTAGAGTCCCTCGCAAGAATTGTCCAAAGAAGATCACGAGCAACAAAGTCTGTTCCAACCACTTTTTCCGAATCTGTAGTTATTTCTAGTGACGATTGGGATTCAGTATGTCGTTTCAAAGTTAATTAGGCATACTATTGGGTTAAAATTTAATTTCCCAAGCTACCCTGTCTAGGAAAAGTTCCCAAATGGGGTCAGTTTCCGGTAGCCGATCCTGATCCTATAGAAGCAACTAATTAGAGGTGATATCTAATTATTGAACGAAAAGTGGTTTTGTGTGGTTGAACCGCCCTTATACTACCGCGAATCATGACATTGAACAAGTACATAAGAAACTAAGAATTTGTATGAAGTATGAGTTTATATTCATCTAGTAATTTATAATGAATGACCTTTACTATGCAATTTTCGACTAAAATCATGTAGATTGTAGATATCCAATCCAGTTCCATGCACAACTGTTGTTTACATATGGTCTAGTTAGACACAATTTTGTTTCAAGAGTGACTCGATAATCGCAATATAATCAAAACTAAATATTATTAAATGGTCCATGTCATGCATGCGGAATTATCTCCCATAAATTGGCAACTGCCAAAGTGACACTAAAGTTTTATTGCTAAATTCTCTTTTACAAAACTTACAAGTGCTCATTTAACAATTTTCTAATGGATCATGGAATTGAATGTTCAATTTTCTATTCATAAATAATAATTATAATGCGAAGTTTTTTTTACCCCAAGTTTGGAGATTATAGGTAAATTGGGAATGCCCCTTCCCAGGGACCACATCACCCTAAATAACCAAATTAAATATCATGGTAGACCATGCACAGCATCGAATTATAGTTAATGACTTCGAATTAACCTTTTTTTGTCTCTAAACAAGGCTTAGAAAACTAGATTTTTTTACCTCATTTACCGCATTTTACCTCATCCCAAATTTGCCTTTTTTTGGCTGGCCTCAAGGGTAAAATTAGGTTGACCCCCCCCCCCCCCCCAACAATAGAGTGGATACTGGTGGGGAGGTGATCATTGTTTTGTTTACATTAATAGTGAGCACATGTTAAGCAGGCTGATGAGGTGATAATAATTTTGTATTATATAAGGCTTGGTAACACTTGTAACGCCTTCTTGTTGTAACCCCCCGAATTATTTTCTGAACGAAAGCTCAAAAATAACCGAGAAATCGACGCCTTCTTAATAACATATTTTTGAAAATGGGGCGCCTTCCCAAACCACAAAAAATCAAGTTTTGACCCTAAACCCCCGGGCCACTCCCAGGGGCCACGCCCATCCCAAAATGACCGAAATCCAGCTAAATCCAGACTTTAAAATCTTTACCCCTGTAGTGCTTTTATGTTCCGGGGTAGGTGGGACACGTTTTAGTTTAAAAATGGGTTCTGCCTGTCCCAAACCATCATAAAAATCAAGTTTCGACCTCTCAACCCACTCGGGCCACTCCCAGGGGCCACGCCCATCCCAAAATGACCGAAATCCAGCTAAATCCAGACTTTAAAATCTTTACCCCTGTAGTGCTTTTATGTTCCGGGGTAGGTGGGACATGTTTTAGTTTAAAAATGGGTTCTGCCTGTCCCAAACCATCATAAAAATCAAGTTTCGACCTCTCAACCCACTCGGGCCACTCCCAGGGGCCACGCCCATCCCAAAATGACCGAAATCCAGCTAAATCCAGACTTTAAAATCTTTACCCCTGTAGTGCTTTTATGTTCCGGGGTAGGTGGGACATGTTTTAGTTTAAAAATGGGTTCTGCCTGTCCCAAACCATCATAAAAATCAAGTTTCGACCTCTCAACCCACTCGGGCCACTCCCAGGGGCCACGCCCATCCCAAAATGACCGAAATCCAGCTAAATCCAGACTTTAAAATCTTTACCCCTGTAGTGCTTTTATGTTCCGGGGTAGGTGGGACATATTTTAGTTTAAAAATAGGTTCTGCCTGTCCCAAACCATCATAAAAATCAAGTTTCGACCTCTCAACCCACTCGGGCCACTCCCAGGGGCCACGCCCATCCCAAAATGACCGAAATCCAGCTAAATCCAGACTTTAAAATCTTTACCCCTGTAGTGCTTTTATGTTCCGGGGTAGGTGGGACATGTTTTAGTTTAAAAATGGGTTCTGCCTGTCCCAAACCATCATAAAAATCAAGTTTCGACCTCTCAACCCACTCGGGCCACTCCCAGGGGCCACGCCCATCCCAAAATGACCGAAATCCAGCTAAATCCAGACTTTAAAATCTTTACCCCTGTAGTGCTTTTATGTTCCGGGGTAGGTGGGACATGTTTTAGTTTAAAAATGGGTTCTGCCTGTCCCAAACCATCATAAAAATCAAGTTTCGACCTCTCAACCCACTCGGGCCACTCCCAGGGGCCACGCCCATCCCAAAATGACCGAAATCCAGCTAAATCCAGACTTTAAAATCTTTACCCCTGTAGTGCTTTTATGTTCCGGGGTAGGTGGGACATGTTTTAGTTTAAAAATGGGTTCTGCCTGTCCCAAACCATCATAAAAATCAAGTTTCGACCTCTCAACCCACTCGGGCCACTCCCAGGGGCCACGCCCATCCCAAAATGACCGAAATCCAGCTAAATCCAGACTTTAAAATCTTTACCCCTGTAGTGCTTTTATGTTCCGGGGTAGGTGGGACATGTTTTAGTTTAAAATGGGTTCTGCCTGTCCCAAACCATCATAAAAATCAAGTTTCGACCTCTCAACCCACTCGGGCCACTCCCAGGGGCCACGCCCATCCCAAAATGACCGAAATCCAGCTAAATCCAGACTTTAAAATCTTTACCCCTGTAGTGCTTTTATGTTCCGGGGTAGGTGGGACATGTTTTAGTTTAAAAATGGGTTCTGCCTGTCCCAAACCATCATAAAAATCAAGTTTCGACCTCTCAACCCACTCGGGCCACTCCCAGGGGCCACGCCCATCCCAAAATGACCGAAATCCAGCTAAATCCAGACTTTAAAATCTTTACCCCTGTAGTGCTTTTATGTTCCGGGGTAGGTGGGACATGTTTTAGTTTAAAAATGGGTTCTGCCTGTCCCAAACCATCATAAAAATCAAGTTTCGACCTCTCAACCCACTCGGACCACTCCCAGGGGCCACGCCCATCCCAAAATGACCGAAATTCCAGCTAAATCCAGACTTTAAAATCTTTACCCCTGTAGTGCTTTTATGTTCCGGGGTAGGTGGGACATGTTTTAGTTTAAAAATGGGTTCTGCCTGTCCCAAACCATCATAAAAATCAAGTTTCGACCTCTCAACCCACTCAGGCCACTCCCAGGGGCCACGCCTAACCCAGAATAGCTACAGGAAGAGAGGAAGTTGGGTAGGGCAAAACAAACGTTACATACGTTGAGTCTTATACAGGGGTGTAGGAAGCGGGGGGCAGGGGGCCATCGCCCCCCCCCCATGAAATCTGGGGAAGGGGCCAAAAAGGGCCAACTTTTTAATTTAGGTTTCTAAAAATTTTTGGGAAAACAATTTTTTTCCCGAAAATTTTAGAAGTCAAAAATCTTTTAAGTCAAAAATTTTCAAAGTTTTCTTGGAAACTACTTTTGTTCATGTTTTATGCTACCCTGATCATTAT